CATACAGACTGGGCGAGGAAGGTGTTTTCTTGGCCAAAGGATAGCACATATAGGACATAAAGACAAAGCGAAAATAGCCCCAGGGTGCGGCAATGGCAATGTAATCTGTATTTTTCAGATATTACAAGACAAAGTCAGATTGGTGGTTCCATACGTGGAATTAAGACAAAGAAGAAAACTAGGCACAGGATGTCACGAAACAGCTGCACACAGGACGGGCCAGGCCTCAGCCTCTAGGCTGCCAAGTGGAGTGAAACGAGGTCTCCAGTATGCCCCCCTAGGTCTCTGACCCATCCACACCTGACCCAGAACTGGTCTGGCCCATGTCCTCTGTCCCATCAAGACTTCCCCAGCCTCTCTCACTGGCCAGCTCTACTTTGGCCTCAGCACTGGCCAAAGACTACAGACTATGCCGTGCCTCATGGATTTGCCCCCCCCCACAAAAAAAAAAAAAAACAGACCATGAGGGAGAGTCCCCGACCACCACTGTCCAGTCAGGCAGCAATAGATCTGCTGCTCAAAGTGGTAAAGGCTCAGCGCACAAGACATTCCCTAAAGGAATTTCTCATTGTTTTCACTAACTGGGGATGGAGAGTATTAGGATAAAACATGCATACAGTGAAACACAAATCTGAGCGTACAAGTCCATAAACCGCGACTCCTGCACACCCTGGGAATACCGCATGTGGAACGAACTCTCCCTCCCACACAAGTTTTCTGCTGTTCCTAAGTAGTCACCCCCACGCACATGCCCCCACCGTGATGTTGGTCACCACATCTGTAAGCCTTTCGTTTAATAGAAGTATTTTATTCTCTTGTATTCACTTTCAATCTTGCTTTCCAAAGTGATAAAATTCACAGCATTATACCCAAATTTAAGATGGCTACTTGTTTATAAAACACTTTTGCTCCTGTTCATATTCAATATAAAAAATATATTCAGACAGCAAGTGTACCGGAGCAGCATTGAAGCAACCACTAATTTCCTCTAACAATTCATGGGAGTGCCCCCTGGAGAGCAGCTTGGCCTGTCAGGGCCCTGCCAGATTGGGGGTTCACCTCTGCATGTGTGCTTCAATCAACTCCAAGCAAGTGTGCAGAAAATCAGTGCTTCTCAAGGGGTCAGTGTGGTCCCCAGGGGAGCATCTGGAGTCGTGGGGAAGGGGACACTTGGGGCGATCACAATGATACCTGTAGTGGTGGTGGACATGTGTAGCGAGGCAAGGATGCTCTACTCAAAAGCAGCTACCCTTCGTCCCACACAGCTTCAGCTTCTCCCCAACATCAGCACCCTTGACAACCTTCACTGATCCGCTTTGGCGTCACTGCCTGACTCCATCTGACACCCATAAAGGTAAGCTGTGGCTGTAGGAACACTTTTCAGACAAAATAACTTTCCAGGAACCCAACTGTCATGACAAATGAGGGAGCACTGGCCTGTGATTTCCATGTAGACCCTTAAAGTCCCTCCCCCAGTGGTATCTGCAGCTCAGCCAGAACTCACCTGCCTGAGACTGTCCCTTGTACCCTAGGAGGGTCTTCCTAGGACATTTGATGGCCTCTCTAGTTTGACTCTGCCCATGCATCCATACAGTGAAGTACATAATTTTAATACAGGTGACTTTTATTTACTCTCATGTGTAGACGCTATATAGACTTGGGGGTAAATGATGTTGTAGGTAAGTTTTATTATGTTATTTCAGAATTGTCAAGTACTTAAAATAGTTGCATTAAAAGAAGGTGTTTAGGCCCTCCATGGTGGTGCAATGGGTTAGGATGCAGCACTGCAAGCCCCATAGCCACTAAAGTGCAAGTTCGAACCCGACCCCGGAGGTGGCCCACATGGCACGGCAGACCTCTCCGGACCCACCTGCTGCTCCCCTCAGCAGTGTCCTTCATTGATCTGCCTGTTCTGCTCTCCACTCTGCCTCTGGTAATCTTCTCACCGCCCCTGCACCTCCAACTTGTACCCCAAGTCTGCATGTCTAAATAAATAAATCTCCTAAAAAGAAAATGAGGGTATTTATTTTTGTAAGAGGTGAAAAAACACAGTGTTATTGCTATGGAATTTCTCCAGTTGGAAGGTAGGTGTGTAGAGCCGTGGGTACCCTACTACCCATTCCTGTTAGCACCCTGAGTCCATGCAGTTACCTCAGGGCACTTTCAGTGGGGGTCACTGCTGAGACTTCAAAAGTTTCTCTTTGCACCTCCCAAATGGAGACCACAGCTCTTTGCACCAGGACTGCTTTTACAACCCCTCCCCGCCACCACTAGCCCTACTTTTTCATCTCAAGGTTCAAGAGACTGTGTTCTCCTGTTTCCTCTCTCCCACTACCTCCAAGATGGATACTGGTGTCGGGACAGCTTAAAACCACCTGAGGGGCTTTCAAAATATCAATGACCTGAGAGGAGCTATTTGCTCTGGGTCCAGCGCTTCTATTTCTCAGAGTGCCGTGGGCAATGCCAAGGTGTGGCCAGGGCTGATGTACCGGTTTCCTCCCGCATTTGCAGCCATTTGGGCAACTTAGCAAGCAGAGAGGTGATCAAGGTCGACCTTTTACACATTTTAGACTCCACTTTGTCTCTACTACATTTTTCTTTCATTCCATTTTTCATTTATGCATCTTGTAAATCCTTTCTGGAACAGATAAGAATGAAAAAATGTGCTGCCACGTACATGAAGAGAAAGTCCAAAATGCAAAGGCACAGGAAACACAGTGACCTTGAGCCTTGAGGAGCCCAGCACCTTTCAGACATGCTGAGGTCACTCTGGTGGTGGGCACCCATGCTGGGCATGGCACTTCCTGGGGCCATCGCAGGCAACCAGGGTAAAGGAACAAAGCCACTGACTGTGAAGATCCTGTCAGCTTCCCGACAGCCTTAAAGAGAAGAAAATGTAAACCAAGGATGAGCTCACAGCAGAGCTGGACAACTACCCAGGCATGGTGCCCCTGGCGGCTCCGTCCTGCAGAATAGCCAGTTCACAGTGGGTCAGCGGTGGTGGGATAACCTGAGTACTCTACTTCCCTCCCCTCCAGCCATCATACTTTGACTGTACTTTCCAGCTCTGCCATTTTGATTGCTGAGATACCCTCTGCACCACCCTACCACCTGTGCCCAGGTGGACATTGATGCATTCTAGCCACAGGTGTACATCAGCTCTGGCCCAAGTGCACAGTCAAACCCCAGATTATGTCTCAGCACCCCTGCTACTCTTTAAGGAGCCACAGGTGCATCTGTGTCCACAGCTGTCATGTCTTCCTCATTGGAGATGCTGAGTATCCTACTGCAGGCAGCCAGTGTGCTCATGCTCTGTACAAAGGGGAAGAACTCCCTACTGCAGAAAGACCCCAGAGGGCCTGTGACTCTACCAAGAGCGCTCACATCCATCAGCAGGCAGAAATTTTTATCTACGTTAATCACAGTTTTATCCTCAGTATTTGGAACAGTGCTTGGCCCTAAGAAAACATTCAACAATAAGCATGTGTTGACTGAATAAGTGAATTGAGTAGTGTTTCATCAACAGTGAAGGAATTGCTCAAAACACACTTCATGTTTCAGAGCCATAAGGAAAGTTTTGATGCCACGTTAGGCCACACAGCGCTCAATAGAGCCAGTTAGAAATGAAAGTTTGGTCCTGCCTACCAACGTCATAGAGTAATTCAGGTCAAATGTCCTCTCTGAAACGGTATAGAGTCTCCATAGAGCAGGTACACAGTTTCAACCCAACAGAGTAACTGCTACCTAAATAAGCCCGAAAATAATTCAGGGGATTCTATACCACTTCTTTCATTAAATCTCATCCAAACGCCCCAACTTTTTCATCTAACATAAAATGTAATAGAGGATATGAACATAGAAAATCACATTAAGTGTTAAATAGCATATTAAATGAGTAAGAAATGAGAACAAGGTGCCCACAGCTGCTAAGTAAACTGGGTAGAGAGAGAGCAAATTGCTCAACTCCTGGCTTTCCATAGCTTATCACCAGTCACAAAGTCAATGCTATCCTTTCATCTTCCAGAAGCCTTGCTCTAGGACACGTGACCCAGGCATCACGCTACAACAGTGGTTGGATCTCACCTTTTCTCTACAGCTTCAATGGTCCAGAGGCCGCCCCCTCCCTCCATTCCTAGTTCCTAGGCAGTAAAGTTAAAACCTCTGGAACACACCTGTCTGAAACACACGAATATTCCCTACACCAGGATGGGCTGCAAAGGGCTGACCCTGGCAGGAACCTGCCCACCCTCCTGCATGGCCTTCCTCCCCCAGCCTCAGCAGCACAGAGGAGAAAGCCCTGGTGGACAGGGGGAGCCATGGTGCAGAGAAGGGCCAGAGTGTGAGGGCCCGAGGGCTCACTCTCCTGGGGCCAACTCTCCCACATGTTAGTCATCTCTCTAAACTTCTGCTTCCTCCACTGCAAAAGGGAGATGATAATAATATGGCTTTCAAACGGCAGCTGGGAGGATGAAAGAGTAGTTAAGTGTAAAAGGCCTAAGCTGTAATGTGCTGAACATGGCTGTGGTAAATAAGGAATCCTCTTGGAGTCTTTCTACAGTTGAGGGAGGCACAGGCCATCATGGTTCAGAGGCAGTAACTCACTCTCCCTCCCTGTCTTTAGGGTATCAGCCCTTCTCTTGTTAACCAAATACTCTTGTTAGCTCAGACCCTTAAGAGACTCCTGAACCAGTTGAACTTGGCAGGATTAAAACACCTGGAAGCAACTTAGATGTACAAACAGACACACCCCTGGAGAAACACTCCACTGAGATTGGCAAGTTCCCCCCCAAAAGGAATCTGAGCAAACTTTCCTCCTGCTTCACACCCAAATAAAACCAAACACAGATTTAACAGCCTTCTTACACAACAAACTCCCACAACCTATGTAACCTCGGAAGGACGCCTTCTGCGCCATCCTAGCTGAAACCCGGCTGAAGTGTCAAGGCACCGCAGGTCCCGCATCGCCCACAAGACCCCCAGAACGCGCCAGCTTGTCCTACCTGGTGTGAACCTTCGGACATGCCAGGTCTCAGTGCTGGGCGGAACCCGACCCAGCCCTGCGGGGCGCCATCCTGGGAGCGAGGAGTGCTCCGGGGTCCGGGCTCCCGGCAGTCACATTCCCACCGCTCCTGGGGGCCAGCGGGCAGGCTGCTCCGGCACCGCCGGGCCCGGCGGCTCTCCCGCTCCCCCCTGCCGGCTCCCTTTCCCACTTAGCTCAGGGCCCGACCCAAGCTGAGCCCTCCCTCGCGCCGGGAAACTGCCGGGCGGGGCTCCAGCTCCGGTCCCGCGGAGGCGGGGAGCGGGCGGAGACAGCGCGGCGGGACCAGACCGTGGGCGGCAAGCGAGCTGGCCCGGTGCCCCCCAGTTCCATCCAAGGGTCAGGAGTGACCGGACAGCCCTTTCCGGAAGGGGCCTTGTCCAGGGCATCCCCGCCAGTCTGGCCCCTGCTGGAGCCAGGACCCTGGAGCGCTGCCAGGCATCCCAAACAGCGCTTATCCCCTGGTGGGGCAGTGACCAAAGGTGTTGATCCCACCCAAAGTGTGACCTGACTACCACCCAGCTGGGGACCCCTCCGGAGGCGTGCATATCGGGACCCTCGGCTTTCAGGCCCAGAACACACACTGTTGTGCCTGCAATTTTGAGAGGTAAGAGGGTGTCTTTGGCTTCTGCTGCCGGAGGACAGGTCTCAGGCTTGCCCAACTAGCTTTGTGAATTTAGACAAGTCACTAAATTCTTTGTACCTCCTTGTCTTCTGCAAAAAGGGATCCCTACAAAAACACCCACCTCTGGAATGATTGGGGCGATTCAATGGTGTGACCCTTTTATGAACAAATGGGACCACTTCTCTGGTCTAGCAGTGAAAAAGCAAAACCATTTCCATGAGCTTACAGCCTATTCTGACAGTCTCATCCTGTTCTGTGAAGCAGCTTGTCAGGAATCTGGTGCCTGAAATGAACCTTGAAACCTCTGCTTATGACCAGAGAAGTCAGAAGGGAAAGACCTAGCAGACAGGTAAGCAGCCTTTCTGGTCTCCAGGATACATTTGTATTTAAGTGCCAATATTTGCCCCATTTGTGCAAGCACCAACATAACTTAGAAAATGGAGAATTCTAAATCCTAAAGGAAAACCAGGAGGCCCAGTGAAGAATAACTGAGTTTTTGACATAAGTGATTCACTGTTCCTTTTTTTGTGTGCATGCAACAGGTGTGTATGATGAACTCAGAAGAGTTGGAGTGGTTGTTTGTCTCAGAGTAAAATCTATCTGATTATTTCCAGGGTTCAAGTCCTCACTCTGATCATCCAGTAAACTCTGTCATTGAGACCTTTGGTTTCAGTTGACTACTTGTAAACCAGTGGCTGGCACAGAGTCCCTTCCAGTTTTATTATTACTGTTGCATGTTGGATAGAAGATCAGTTCACGGTCTTGATCCCAGACTTCTTAGCCAGACTGGGTATCATTTTAAGCGTAAACATTCTTCAATCAGCTCAATCTGCAAATGAGAATTCTCACTTAGAGAAATGTAGTGAATGACCAACACCACACAGCAAGTACCTGACAGGTCACATCGGGACCTCACCGATGTGAGGAAAGAGGACACTAGAGTCCTGAAAGCAGCCACTTGGGTTCCAAGTCCAACAGCCAGAAGTTTGAAGCCTTCTCTTCTCCTTCCATTCCATGCCTCCAGCTTACTTCAAGGACTTAATGGACCCTCTTCCAAGGAGACACTGAGTAAATGATTATTGCTTCCTTCCTTCCCATACACACCAGCCCTTCCCGCATCCCTTCCAGGCTAAATAGGCATTTGTTTCCCTAGGCTATACCTTGACCACATGCATCTCAGAAATTCAGAAATTGAGGTAACCTGAACCCCAGTTAGCCCTGACAATTCTGGTCTGGCGGGGAAGCATATAGGAAGGAGAATCAGTATCTCGTACCCCGAATGCTGTCATGTGACCTACATGATGACAAGTCTCTTATTTTGTCTAGTTCTAGAAGTTTCTATGGTTCCTCTTTCTCAGAGGAACTATTCAGGTCTGGGGCTGGTGACATGATATTATGGGAATTCATCAGCTGTTTCATCTCCTAGTATTCCTTCAGAGAGTGGTAGTTCTGGAAACACTGACCACAAATTAGAAGCATGGGGAGATCAGTCACATCAGAATCTCTGGGGCAGGGATCTCCAAACTCCTACAGTGATGTTGTTACTTCATATGCCCCAGCTGAACCTCCTTCCACATGAGCGTCCAAGTAGCAGTTGATGTAAATTGTAAGGGGTGGGCAGGACTCCACGCTGCAGAACTAGCCTAGAAGTCATATGTTGGTGAACATAAATCCATCTTGGAATGTATGTGAAGAAGGGTTTTAAATAGTTTAAAGTAGAAAGTAAAATTGATTTATGCAATAATGCAGAAATAAAAATCACAATCTCCTTTGATTTTTCCTTAAATACTGACACCTACCATCCACCTCTACCCCAACTATCCTGCTAGACACAGAGGCCATAGACTTTCCCTTCTCACCTACAACCACTCTTCTATATGGGACCTTAGATTTACCTCCCTCCTCCCTCTACCATGTTGGCCACATTACCTGACTCTCTCTCCCATTACTGTGGTTGTTATTTGGTCATCCCCAAGATAACTCAAATGTCTCCCTGCCTTGCCCCAAGCCTGGGCTGGAAGTTCAGTCTGGCAGAAACCAGTGATACATCACTGCTGTATCACTCTCTTTCTGATTTCGGTATCAGGCAAACACTGTAATAGGGGAGGGTGCTCTGGGTAAGACAAAGAACTTGACAAACTTACAAGAAACAGTAAAACAATATCCCTATTATTTCAGACACATGCTAGAGTATGTCCTCTCGCCACCCTCCCACCTCTGAAACTCTTGTCATTTGGGAGACTGGACTATCTAAAACCTCCTTATAAGAGGCCAGGTCCCCTGAGGACTTTCAGTCTCCCCACTTATTAGGCTGCTCAGATCACAGGCCCTTCATGGGAAAAATATCACTGATGCTCATGAAACAGCATCATGTTGGCCAGGACAGCATGATTTGGTGGCCTGAAAAAGAAAGCATTTCCCAGAGCAGGACATTTTAAAGGACTGTCCACTATAAATATGAATTGTAGACTTGAATATTTTAAAGAAAATATTTTTGTACATATTTCCTTGAATTTGCAAAGTCCTGTGGTTGGAGAACTTTGAGCACAGGGTTTAATGTCACAGACCACTGAATTCAAAAGGAGGTATGATAATCTGGAAAGGTTTTATTTCTCCCCTTCCCCCCACCACATGCTCAGAGTTGACCAGCAGGCACAAACTTTTAAGTTGCTCCATGCCCTTCATCTCCACCCTCCAAAGAACTCCAATTACCATGCACAGAAATATAAGAGGGCTGGAAAGGAAAGAATTCTGAATAGATTGTGCTGTTACCCCAAAGAGACTGATTCTTTGAACTAAAAGAAACTACAATACTGATAGGCAAGATTCTTTTTCTGACTGCAATGAGGATTCATTAGCTAAAGTATGCAAATGAGGATTCATTAGCTAAAGAGAATTCACTTATAGTAAATAAAGTAAATTACATCTTTGCACCGGAATGCACTCTGTGATTCTTGCTACACCTTTTTTTTTTTTTTTTAAGTTTATGTACTGCCAGTAACGATTCAAAACCACAAGGTTGCCTGAGACAGCTTTCAAAACCACTGTCCTATATGGACTTCCTTCTACAGCCTAGTTCTTTTGCTCCTTTCACACATTTCCCATCTACTGACTTCCAAATAACCACTTTTTAAAAGCGGTCTCTTAGTACCGCTCATTAATGCAACTTCTCAGTTTTAGTCAATGCAACACTCCCTTCCTCCAAGCATTTGTGTTCAGGCTTCTATAATCATCTTTCTATTCAAATTCCTTTGAGTTTGTAAGCCACATATGAACTAGGGATGAGAGTTGATGAGAAAGTGTAAATCCACCACAGGCAATTAATGATTTTGTAACTTCCTTTAGAAGATGTGGGGAAAGAAGATAGCAAGCAGCCCTGACCACTTTGAGTTCTAACTGTATCTTTATACTCCTGCTCAATGAAGGTAAATGAACAAAATAGTCTCCCTGGGCCTGTTTGGGGGATTTGTTTTCCCCTCATGTTAAACACAGAAAATAAACAGCAAGTTCTTGAAGCCAATAGATGGAATAACTTCCAATATCTGCTGCACCTATCATAAACAGACAGTGGCTCCTCTCCCTCTAACGCTGGCTATATTGAATTTGATAATTGCTTCAACACATAAACTTAAATCATCAGTAGCCAACTGCCCACCACCATCCAAAAGGCAGCCCTTCCCAGCTTCCCCATGTCAAAAGCTAAGTTCCTATAGAAACCTTAGGGCTCAATCATATGCAAGACACATAATAAAAATACTGTCTTCCTTAAATTCATTTTTTAAAATCTAATCTCCTTTCCCTTGTAATTCCACATGGTGCCATCATATTTGGTTTTTTGCAAGTTTCTGTAATGTGTATCTAAGTTTTTTTCCCTTTCCATAGGGATTATTCCAAAATCCAGACTTTTGTGTCATGGATTTTAAATTATTGGGTCTTTTCAAAATGGCACTATGAATTATAAATATAACTGTCAATTTATTTTCTTCTAAGTGGTTTCTTTTTAATATCTCTGTGATAGATTAAGGAAGCTTATTTGTTCCTCCCGCAGTTAAGGAGGAGATTGAATCTGAACTGACCTCAGTTACCTACTCAACCAATGTCAACCAATGGATGAAATGGACTTCTAAAGCCAGATCATCAAGAAACTCTCAGCTTCTTTCTGGCCTTTTTAGAATACTCACTGTTAGTGGTTAGTATTACTATCTTGAGACGACCGTATTTTTAGAAGTCTCAAACCCCATGGAGGCTCTCCAATCTACAGCCCCAACTGATAGCTAGAACCAACTCTTGCCATAGGAGAGCACCATCTTGGATGCTAATCCTACCAACCCAATGCTCACTGAATAAAATCCCTAGAAGAGATCCCAAAGGACAGCCTCCCAGTTGAGCCCCATTAAAGCCTCAAAACCATGAGAGATAATAACACATTGATGTTTGAAGTTCTCTAAGTGTTTTGCACAAAAAAAATAGAATAAAACACAATGATT